CCTGCTGACACGGGGACAAAGGTACCCTACCAGTGCCTCGGGCTCAGCTGACACTTTAAAGGATGTCCATGTGCCTTCTCAGGCGGCCTCTACACTTGTCCACTGGGCACACTGGGCCTGCCAGAGCTAGCTCCTGGAGTTTTCCATCTACCCCTGTGGAATCTCCTCTGCTCCTCCCCAAAAGAAACCTATAGTGCTAGTTGTGATTGCTAATTTTGTTTTCTGACCTGCTCCCTTAAGCCCCAAGCTCCCCGAGGGAACGCTGTGTTTTATTGTTTTATCATGGGTACCATGTCCAATGCTTGCCATAGCGCACACACCAAATGTTTGCAGAATTAAAGAATGGTTAAAAACTACCTTCTTAAACTCCACATAACCATTCAGACATCCCAGAGAAAACTGAATATGGGCTAGATCCAGGTGTAGAAATAACATACTAGACTAAAGTCAGATATAGTCACAAGTTCAAATAAACTAAGGATGACCCAAATTAGTTCATGGGGCCATTGGATGATTTCAAATGTTACAGATTACTATAGAAATCTGTGCTTAACATGTTCTCGTATACTCATAATTGGTTCACTTCTGAGTTTAAGTTTAAGATTGACATGTTATATGTCTCTCTGTTTCTACTGATTTAATTTTTAAGTGTTTACTTTATTCTAGGACTTTGACAAGTGATTTGGAGGTGAAAAGCATAGCCCTCCTACTCTTAATATCTTTTGGGGTGATAGGAAAGACACACAAACCAGGTGGAGAATGAAGCCTTCAGAGCTTGTAATTGTTTATCCTGGAAGACGAGCTTCAGTTTAACATCTGGCTTTGAAACTGTCCGTGTGAAGATATTCACTACTTTTTCAGGAAACTTGGATTTTATCCATTGAACCGAGTAGCTATGTTTGGTTACTATCTAATTTATTTCATGTATACTTCAACTTTTATATGTTTGCTGTGGATTAGAAATAGCATTTAGAAATTTTATTGAGAACTGGTGGAAAACGCTACCCTTCTTTGTCAGGTGCAGCATTTCAAGTTTAGTAAACAGACGAGTATAATGGCAACAGACTGTGGTTGTATCTGTGAGAGGTGATCGTATCAGCCATCAGTCAAACCCGGAATTTCCCTCTCCCACCCAGAGTAACTGGCCCATGTTTAGACCAGAATGAATGGAAGCCCTGGAGTCTAATCCAAATTCTGGGCTCAAAAGTTTCTCATTGGAAAATCATCAGGTCATGATGAGTCATTAATATTATAATGATGATTTCCAATGATGGCATCCAGGGCGCCATGTCTGAGATGGTGCCTGTTTTCTGGTCACATGTTTGTTATTGCTACTCATGGCGGATGGCATTGAGATTACTAGAAAAAAAATATTTTGAAATGGTATCCTGTGCTCATCAGAAAGAAATGGGTGATTCTGGTCATTGGATTTGCCTGGGTTTATAAATCTTTTCTCACCCATTTCATTCATTGATTAAAAGTTATCATGTTCAAAGACTAAATCTAGCCATCCCGGTAGACAGAACTAGATATGTTTTGATTCAGGATTACTTTTTGTTATATTTCCTAATGTTTGTGACAATTATCTCGCTTCATTTTTGCTGCTGAATCTGAAGTACACTGTTTTATTTTGCTGTTTTCTGTAAGCTGTGAGGATGAGATAGGACGTGGAACCTAAGGGACATATACTAAATATATACCTTAAGCAGATTATCTGCAAATAGTGTACTCTCCCATCAAAATCAAAATTTAACTCCCTGATTTAAAAAATATATATATGATTTTCCCAACTTTTACATACATAATTAGATATATAACACATCTATTATCCGTGATAGTGTCAGCGATCTGACTGAGAAACAAAAGTATTTGCCTGCTTGAGAGAAGTTATTAGGTGAAACGGATGTTTCCAGCGAGGACGATGTTCCTGGGTGAGGTAAATAATTTTAAAACTGATTAGCCCTGGCTAACAGGCGAAGTCACAGGCCCCGAGAAAACGAATAGGTGTGTTGAGTAAAGGGCGATGTGAAAAACGTGAGGATTCTTTAGAGTTACACCGAGTTTGGTATCAACCCTGTTGCCTCAGCCACTTAGGAGAAATGCGTTTGTTTTTTTTAAGACTTAAGATTGCGCGAACGCTCTGCACCTAAAACTGATGGAAGTAATTGGTAAACTGGTTAATAAGCCCCGCTTGGAGGAGAATGGGAGTTGCAGGCGCAGGCAAACAGGCCCGGGTAAGTAATCCTACAAGTCAGCGGAGTTCCCTGCACAGAGAGAAACAAAGATAGCAGTAATTAATGACCCTGACTCCGTGCCAGGAAAGCTTTCTTCTGACAACTCCAACTTAATTAAAACTTAAGGCATTTCAATGGCCTCTGCGAGCCCCGATGGGGTGAGCCCTTGCAGGCGCGTGAGAAAATTTTGTAAATTAAAGGGAACGATGTGTGTTACCACTAGTGCCATGACTCTAATCCCTGACAGTCAAAGAATCTATTTAGGCCGGGCCTTTTCTTTTAAGAGGCTCACACCTGCAGGCTTCCTGGCACTTTTTGTGCGGTGCGGGAGATCAGATAATGGGGCCGGCGGCCGCTTTTGTTTCCGTGCATGTCCGTTAGCCGGGACTGTGGCGGGCACACTGACATGCTTGGCTTGCTCCGGGCCAGGGAGCATCGCCTGCTAGCTTTCGGCGGTGCCACACTGGATGAAGATGGGTTGGCCCAAAGAGTAAGTTT